TGTGTGTGTGTGTGTGTGTGTGTGTGTGTGTGTGTGTGTGTGTGTGTTGCCAGCAGATGAGAGTTGTAGTAATGGCAGACAGCTGTGTGGAGGGAACCAGGCAGCCACAGAGAGGATGATTCAGTTTGGACGGGAGCTGCAGACACTCAATGAACAGCTGTGCAACGAGTATGGCAAGAACGCCACGCACAAGAAGATGTTACAGGTATGCACATACATACAAAAGTTTTTTTTGTTTTTTTTTCTTTTTCCTGTTGGCACCAGTTAGAAATCCTGGTGGCAGCATTCTGTCAGGAATTTGAGTAATGTTTGAGGATGTGCTGCGATAGAGAAGACCCGACTGTAACAGGTGGTGGTTCGTTTCTCTGGTGCACAGGAGAAGGCTCATATTACTTTGTACTGCAGGCTGTGTCCACAGAGAACAACAGTCTCTGGAAAAACATCGGAACGATAAAGGTTCTGTAGTTCTCTGTGAAACAGACCGCTTTCTAATACACGAATTGTACACTAATTGCATTATAGCAAAACCTCTATCACAACAAAATTCGCCCAAGAAGGACGTTTATTTTTGAATGACCTGCTACTTCACAGTGTTCTTCCACTGTTGCATTCAGTAATGTTCAACCACCTGTTTTTGCCACTTGAATAAAGTTCTTTCTCGTCATATGTTTGATTATGTTAACCTCTGTGTTAAGTCCTGTGCCACGTGTCGGGCAGAAAGCATACAGTTTAGGTTCCAGATGGTACATGACACACGTGGGATTCAAACACGATGTCTGTGCGCAGCCAGCGAAGCGAAGCGGTGAGCTGCAGGAGGCTAAAATCTGCACAGAACTGCTAGATTGAGTGATGATACTCGGCGAGTGTGACACAGACAAGTCCAGAGTTGATCAGTAGTTTTTCTGTCTTTTCTCTACAGACCCAAATGGTCTTGTAGACTCAATAATGTCTCAATAATTCATATTTAGCAATAAGTGAATACTAATAACTGACTTGTGAAGGTGTCTGTGTGGGTGTCAAGTTGCCTGACTGAGACAAAAATTTAGACCAGAGATTATATTACAATTGCTATATATATATATAAATATTTATATATATAAATAATACACACACACACAGAGAGTTGTGTGAAAAAGTGTTTGCCCCCTTCCTGATTTCTTATTTTTTTGCATGTTTGTCACACTTAAATGTTTCAGATCATCAAA